CATGCACCACTTTGCAGATTGGCATGTGCCACTCTGGAGCATCCCAGGACTTGCTGCTAACAGGAGTCTTACTACGGACCCACAAACACGAGCTTCCACAGCACCACACAGCTACAACCCACTGCTTTATTAACCAGCTACAGCTTCAAGCAGACCTAGTGCCTCAATACCACGCGTGGCAGCCAGGCACAAGAGCTGCAGAGGCCATTAGCCATAAGATCACCCTCTTCGTTGCTGTAATTGAGCCGGGTCCAGCATCAGGAACCTGGCAGCTGCTGCTCAGGAAGTCTGCTCCGCGCTGCCCATTACCTCTGCTCAGCACAGGTCCCCACCCAGGGCTTCCAACCAGATCACCAAGCCACACTAAAAATAGTCAGCTCACAAAACCAGCTCTTGGCTCTCACCACTCCACCCTCAAAGTACAGAGACTAACTACATTGCCTGCTGCAAACAAAAGGAGAATTCACTCCTCCATCTATTTATAAGCTGCTTATTCACAGCTTGCAAGCACAAATTCTTTTCAGATGAGGAGCTTGGGGGAAGAGATTATGCTTTTTCTGGTTCCATGTTGCACAGAGCCCAGCACCCAACCTGGTCATTCCTTCACCGTTTGAGGTTTTTCTCTCTTTCTTTCAGCTCTCACATCTACTCCTGTGGCTATCTTGCCCGCCAACATGTGGAGCATGATGCAATCCCACTCCCGTGCCACGCTGAGAACGCAGGTTTGCTGGTAGAGCCGGGCATGCACCCAGTGTATTCTGGTCCAACTAGTATAAAGCATCTTTATATTAATATAAAATGTTTGTATCTTCTTTGCTCCACTTCTGACTCATCGTGTATCTATGGGACAAAAGGCATCACTGGACACTTTGTCTAGGCAAGCGTTCCCAGCTCTTGGCTATGCTGGAAGAGCAGCAATAATGAGAACAACAGTGGAAAATGTCTGGCTAAAGACCAGGTTAAAAGTCTCCCTGTCTCACTGCCCAGCCCCATGCAACTGTCTCACTTTAGTGAGAGCTCCCACTGCTGCTGCCTAGCATCTGGCAGCTTCTCTGACACTTCCATCATAAGCCTGGAGAAATCTTTGAAATCCAAGCCACAGGTTGGTTGATCAATACACTAAGTATCCAGAAGCCCAAGCTAGCGCCTGCTACCCAGCTCTGCGTAACTTAGTAAAAAGACTGTGTTTATTAAAAATTTCCTGTCCAAAAGTGCAAAAATAAGTATTAATAGCATTAGTGATGGATGTCTCCGTGGCATTTGTCCACACTTACCGACAGGAACTTCAGCTAGGCTAATACATCTGCATTTCAACCCCGAGAAAGACTGGGACAGCAAAACCTGGAAGCTTTCACCTAACAGACCTGGAGAAGCACCGAGCCATCAGCGCAGCAGATGGTGTGAAGGCAAATGTGCTGGCTTTAAAGCCAGCCAGCTCCACCAACCACGAATTAAGTGGCAATGCTGCCTTCAGCAGTCCACCTGCACCTTTGGGTGGCCAGCCTGTGCTGAAGCTATCATTACAGCACTTAGAGGCGCCACAAAGATACTGGCTCATCAGTTCCTCACCCACACCAACTCCAGGCCACATTCAGCCCAGTCTTCCCGGAGGTGGGGGAGCGGTGTGGGACCAGCTGAGCACACCGCATCCCCTTAGCCAACTCCCCATGATGGGCTGCCTGCAGGATGCATATTCTGGTAGCAGAGCTCCTCCTTTCTAAGCCAGGAAAAGGCTGAGATCCAGAAAGACTGCTTGGAGAAGTCTTTCTTTCCCTTTGTGGATAAGCAGCTGGATAGGCAAGGCTATCTTTTACAGCGGTACTTGGTGGAGAAAAGAGGATGGAGACTCTCGGTCAGCTCAGGAACAAAGAGTGAGTAGAGTTACCAGTCAAAGCCACTGTCGTGGGGCTTACAGCACCTCTCAGGATGGGACCATCCAGGTGGGACTCCTGAAGACTCTTAAAGCATCTGTCAGAAATAAATGGATGTACCACAATGCCTCTCTTGTGCATGACCACATCTCTGATGGGATGAGTTCAATTCCTGCCGGACAGGAGCTGTGGCTCACTGGCTTAGCAAATCCTCACAAAGCCTGGGTCAGACCTGGGCAGCAATGATATCCCACTGCTGTGTGTCATGAAACACTCCAAAGGGCATCTCAGCTCTGCAGGAGGGCAGAGCAGGGAAACATGCCAAAACCAACCCCAAGGGAAGAGTTTCATTACTAAAGAAAGACTAAGGCAAATCTTGTTTGCTGCATGCTCCAGAAAGGTATTTGGCAGATAACATCTGACTGCACAGAGCACAAGCCTGCTTCCTTGCCTATTTTAGCATACTATCTCTAACCTGCAGTCAAGCGTTTTCAGACGGGTTTGTCCATCTCTATTCTTACCACCTCCTGGTATTCTTTTTGCCAGGCAAAGCGACAAACTAGCAAGAAAGTAAGCTGTGAGAGTTGGCAAAATACGTCCCTTGCAAAGAAGCAAGTCAAGCTCTTGCTTCTTTAATCCCAAGGTGATGGTGCAGCTGGGCTTGTCCTCTTTGTGACTGTTGAGAAAAATCACATTTTTTTTACGTTTAGCTCTGCACTTCTGGTTGGCATGTTTTAACTAACTAGAGCTAAGAGTCCAGAAAACTCATGTTCTTACAATTTTTGCCTCTATGTGCAATTCTTGCACATTTTGACAGTTACCTGTTCACAGCTGGCCTCACAACCCCTGACTAAGAAGTCTTTGCAGTCACAACTCTGCTTGATTGGGCTTTTACACCACAAGAGAGAAGAAAAAACTAAAACAGTGGGACATGTGATTAACACAAGAGGCAAAAGGTGGCTCAGAAAGGATAAAGCCACTTGAGTTGGTTTTGTAAATGATTTGATTTCAAGTATTGGGGGAGTGGGTGTGAAATTAAAGACTGCTAAAGATTGATCAAGATTTTACAATTCAAAGTTCAGAAAAGCAATACAACAGGCCCTGCTGAGTGCATGGACGCACCAGTCCTGTTCCATTTTCACACCTCACCAGTCAAAAATCCAATATTGGACCCACATACATCAACAGCCACTCCAGGCTAGCTTAGTAGGCCAGCTACAATATTTTGTCCCTACCCCATTTAGATCCTGTTAGTTAAAGCCGCCTTTGAAAATCATAACCACAGGAGCCTTTAGAGGGTTAGCAGAGCTCAGAACCTTTAATATCTGCACAGCAGTTTAGAAAGAAGGAGCAAGTGCAGAGCCATGGAGGATCTAAACCCAACAGTGCCTTATACAGAGTTGTCTGGGGAAAAAGCTCCATCACTTGGCCATTTAAAAGGACCCTGGAACAGGGAAGAGTTGACTTTAGTCCTCTGCCCCGAGTTACACAACAGGCAGGCACTCCCTCAATGAAAATACTGCATGGATTTTAGTTTCTGCAGCTACTCCACAGGCTAGAAGAGGACTAACTTTTTCCCCACTACATTCATTTGCGTTCCTCAGGCTCAAGCGAGCCACATATATTTGACCCATAGCATACACTCTCCATTCATACTGGCAGGCAATGAATATAACCTGAATTCAGAAGAGAACATGCTACACAGCCTCAGCATGCGCTCAAACACTGTACAATCAAAGAATTATGTGAGTATCCCCCGCCCCTGGCCTTGCTAAGGTAATCAAAGCAGTAAACTATCCTTAGGGGCTCTGTCAGATCAGGTTTTAAAGTTGATCATTTCCCTGCACAAGAACACAGGCTTAGCTTAAAACCAAAACAAAACATAAAAAGCATGCACATTCTCCCCATTCTCCTAAGACTCTAATGTTGCTGTGTGTTGCTCAAAATAAAAGAACCCAAAACACAACCTGCCATTATCTGTGCTTCTCACATCATGTCAGACTGAAAAAGTTATAGTCTACTAATTCTACCCAAGATTGCATCATAAGTACTTCACCAGTTCAGCCAGAAAATTGTGTCTGCAGGGCCTGCCAGAGCTGCTGGCAGGAGGCACAGCAAGCAGGGAAAAGAAACGGTTGCATCCGTCCCCATGCTCCCCTCTCACTCGGCACCAAAACGCCGACCCCCCATCTCCCCGTGACAGGTTGCATTGTCATCCACTTGCTGATTTTTCAGCAAGAAACATTGTTCTTTTCCCAGCGTTTGGGTGAGATACTCCGCAAGCTATTTTGTTATCTCCTCTCCGTTCCCTCCCTTAAAACCTCCCAGCTTGCGATGGCAACAGAGAGTTTAACCAGAGCAAGGCTGCGGATGCACAGAGCCATTCCACCCGGCCCTGTCATCCGCTACACCCCCGGACATGTCCAGATGCCAGAGTTTATCTCGCACTTGGGCTGGAAGCTCCTGCATGCAAGGGCTGTCTTTCTACCTTGCTGTTTGCACAGCACATAGCACAGAGGCCTTCACACACCGATAGGCTTCAGGTGTTTTAATAGTACAAACAGGAGTTGAGCAATGCCCTGAGGCTTTCAAACAGCTGGCCTCTCAGTCCCTGCTTCTCATATCAATTCTGCAAATGGGCGGTGAATGTTTGTCTGTCCAAATCGTATCCATGTGCAAGGAGATCAGAGCTCGCTTCAGCCAGAAAGCATTCCTTGCAGTTAAGGTCCTTGGAAATCCCCTTGCATAAGGAGTGCCTTGGTAAATCACACAGCGATAATGCCTCGGACCTAAACAGCCATCACTAGCATCATCAATTAAGACTTGTGTTTTAGAGGTGCACAAAATATCTAGCTCACTCTCCACTACCAGAGATAAGTCTGATTTCGCTTGGGAAAGGAATTTTAACCATCTAAGTGAATCCACCCAGATAAGTTTTAGGACTAGGGAAGAAACAGTCAGGATAAGAGTAAAATTCATTACGTTTTTCACCTTTGCTGTTTTCAACAAAAGTCCTTGTGACACAAAGCTGGTCTCTAGCCTGCACCAGCGATGGGTCATGTCACAGAGACTCCCAGCACCTGCTTTTTGCTCATCTCCATCTCCTCTTCTGCCACACTTGGGGCTCACCTGTAGTCATGGGTGAGGGTGACACAAGACTCCTCCTTCCTCAGTCTGGCCAGGAGCGCTCCACCCTCCAGCTGCAGCCTGACCAAGCGTGCGTCTTCAAGAACATTCTTCATCAACTGCCTGTAATTCCTCAGCAGCACAGCTGCCTCCTGGAGGGATCGCAAGAGTGAGATGAGCAGTTACTACAACCTAAGGGCAATGAGGGAACAGGCAAAAACTAGTGCCCAACCCAAAACACACACAAACCACATCTCACCTTGGCCCACCCTAGGAAAGAGGGAGGTTGGTTCCCACAGCTGTTTCTCTCAAGCCTGCCAAGTCCAAAGTGATAAGCAGCGCTCCTCACGCTCTCGATACTTTCCCCACCAGGCTAAAATTGGGTTTTGATTCCTATCATTGTCCATACTCCATTTGCTGGGCACAGAAAGAATAAGCTTTCCAGCCCCATTTTCCACTCACTGCTAGCTGCTACTGTTCTTAGAGCCTGGACCTGCACGGCTCCAAGCTGCGGGACAAGATGCACGTGAAGAGTTTGTGGATATACACGTGTACGTAGGAAGGCCCAGAGAAGCCACCATTATATCTTCCCTTGTTTTACTGCTGGGACACTCAATGCAGAGCCGGCAGCAATTTCCTACTGTCAGGGATACAGCAGCTTCTCAAGAGTAGGGGATATAACATGTTTGCAACAACACTGGCTCAAGCCTTTGTACCCTTCTCCTCTTGCCCGCTTCCAAATTTCTGTTCTGGAAGCAAAGCTGGAACCGCAGCACAACCCTGGCCTCATGAACACCATCTATGCTGTCACTTAACTTTATTCCAGGCCAGTCAAGCCAACCTGGCGTGGCACAGCCTGAGGCAGCTGCTCGGTACTAGAGATACCAAAGCCAGTACAAGCTACAGAGCTGCCATGAACGCACTCCAGTGCTGGAGCAAGCAACCCAGCAGCAACAAGCACAGCTGAAGAGATCTCCTGGGTGACGCTGAGGGATCGGAGAACCACCTTCTACACCCAGTGGAGCCTCTATCGCTTCATTTGGATTAGCTTCTACCAGGCCCGCTGTCCTGACAGCTCCACAGTGATACACAGCACTCAGAATACCCTGCTCCTACAGCTTGCAAATCCAAAGCTACAGCTTTTCTGCAGCTATCCAGCCTCCTGCTCTCTTCTGCCCCAGGCCCACTTCTGACACGAGGCAAGGGACGTGCTTACCTCAGCTCCTCCTGGTAATTTTCCAGATTCCACTTTATGAATGGCTCCCTGGAGGAAGGCACAAGCACCTTGGCATCCTTGTAGCAAATGTTCCAGCTTCTACAAGAAGAAAGGACCAAGGCAGAGATTATTGTCTCATGGCTTCCAAGAAAGTTGTCTTTCCAGCTTGCAGAAGGTTAAAGGACAGAAATTCCTAAAAATTAGGAAACTGGAAAGCTTCCACAAGTAAGTGCAGCACCTTAAACTACTGGCAAATCTGAAATCCCTCCTCTCTTTGAGGGAAGGAACAAACAAAACACATCAACAAAAAAACCCCCAAATGTTTCATAAAGACTCATGGAACACTACTTTTTAGAAAAAGTCAGTGATATAAGGCGAAAATAGTCTCAGATGCCACCTTCCTGCCACTGAAATCAGAAGGGAGAAACAGCTATTCCAAAACAAGTGTGCTCAAAACAAAACAAAACCAAAAAAAAGCAGCTGTTTGAATCTTTCCTGAATTGAAGTCCCTCCCTGGAGCACTGGAAGAGCCCCAAGCAGTGACGGATTAGCAGGCAGGATGCAGGTGAGATCACCAAGACAGGAAATAATCTCTTTGCCACATAGCTGCATATCTAAAGGGGTTGAGCATATGGGTCATTATCACACACAGTACATCATGTAGAGAGGCAACCCATACAGACAAATTCCTACACTAACTCCCTTTGGTAACATTTTGCATGTTAAGATGCAAGACACAAACAAGAAGCAGTCTGATATCATGCTCCTTCTTTCAAGAATTATCATTCTGCATGGACAGAGCACTTCAGCTCTTAAGCTGTTCCTAACCCCATCCAGAAAACTAATCCATAACCTCTTGCAAAGCTTCTCTGCTTCCTCACTGCCAAATAAACCTCAAATTCAACCCCTGGCACCAAGACTAGGCTTCTGTACCTCTACTGCATCAGCATGGGTTCATACTAGTACTTTTAGATGCAAGTTTAAAAAAACGGGCTCTAAAATAACTTGGAAAAGGTAAGCTAACATTTGGCACACGCGAAGCCTAACTGCTGAAGCTTGCCACCAGCAACATGGTGCCATTATCAACGAGACCTCAACCTGCTCCAAACGCTTCACTGTGTGCCACACAGCACCCTGGGCACCAAGATCACAGCCAAAAGACCACTGACTGTTTTGGAAGCAGAGGTGATGCTCACTCTGGTGGCTGACAGGACGAAGTCAAATGCAATGGGAAGCGGATTTAGAGATACTTGATCCTGTCTAGTCTCAGCGTGCCAAATCATGTCCCAATACAGCTTTTAATGATTGAACAAGCACACGATCCACACGACCTATGCTCCCTCCACAGCACGAGCACACACACAGAGCCAGGTATTGGTGCCACAGATGCCACTTTTGCAGACTTCTGGCAGTCTGCACATACCCTGCTGCATGGCCAGCAGCACCTGGAGCCCTGCCACAGATCACCAGCGTGTGCTGCATCAGTGCCCACCGCACCCTTTGCCAGGGCTACCTTCTTTATAAACAGTGTCTGGGTGCTGCAGTTTCAGCCCCTCTACCCCTGAGGCTTAACCTGGGTCAGCTCAAACATTTCCATGGGATGGTCAGCCTCCCTGCACCTTGGGCTTGCTCTAATTCACACCTGAGTACAGATCAAGAGACCGTAGATCTCAAGCCACAATTCTTCTGGAGAAAAGATTGCTGGTACTGCCTCCTACTGTTATCTTGGCCCCGAGACTCACCGAACACACAATCTGCATATTTCTTTTGTTTCCTTGCCTCAAGCAGCCAGCTCTCAAAGACCAACACAATGCTCCCCTGGGCTGAATCTCCTCTGTATTTTTAGTTTAGATCCCTTCTGAAGAGTTCAAATTTGATGACAGCTTTGGTAAGTGAGCAAATTACAGCTAAAGGAGGAAAACGACATTCCTTGAAGTATCTAAACTGATTACCCCTGCCAGGATTGCAGGTTCTTTACTACAGAGCTCTTAGTCTGGCCTGGGGAACGTGCTCCAAAAACTAACAGAATCTAACTATTTTTATTACGCTCGAGTTCTTGGTTGTTAGTTCAAAGGCAACATGATACCAACACCTTCTCCTGAAATTAGCACAAGAAGTGTCTGCCCTTCATCCTCAGAGCATAACTGAAGAGAAGCACCACTATCACAACAAAACAGGATTCTGTTTCTTCCTTCCATTCCAAATACTGTCAAATCTAAATTAATGCAGTTCAAGCAGATGAGTTAAAAACTAAAATTTTAGTTCCTGCTATCATGCCAACAGGTCGCAGTGTGTACCTCTTTTACGAAGACTGTATTAGTATTCTTTTGATAACAGATTCATTTGCATACATAGCTATTACAGGAATCATTGTCTTTTAATGCTTGTAGGTTCAGCTGTTGACAAGCTCCACTTGCTTCAGCTCCGTTACCATGCCATTTCTTCTCTCAGATACCAAAGAACACAAGACATCCTACTCACCATGCGGAAGCTTAACCAGTCCCGGTGGCAATAAGGGAAGGTCCCATCCAGTTCTAGAGGCAGCTGTGAGCTGTCTATGTGCTTATGGAGGGATTTCATGGAGGTGAGAACTTCAAACTGCACAGGAAAAGAAGAAATAAAAGCACATTTGCATTAGGATGTGAGTATTGGAGGAGGAGGGGAAGGTTAACGTAAGACAGCATCCTTTATTTCTTTATCTATCTTGTAGATAAACCAAGCACGCAGTGTATACCTGCAGTATAACTACAAAACAAAACAAAAAATCCATTCAATCTTAGAGCAGCTTGCTGTACAGCTTAGTGGGCACACCTTGAGGGAACACAGGCCACAACACGCTGTTTCACCAAGGAGAACATCTGTGATGGAAGTCTGGCAGCAGCCAGCCTTCTCCAGAGCCAGTACCTCCTTGTATAAGCAGAGCAACTCCCTCTTACGTTCCCACATTGTGCTGCGATTTGCATTTGTTTGGAGAGCCTGAGAGGTTAAATCCAGCCCCCAGCTGCCCCATCTCACTTCCTGGAAAAACAGCCTAACAGACCAGCCTCTGCCCTACCCTCAACTCTCCACTTATCACAGCAGCTATTTGCTCCAAGTGTTTCCTGGATCTTGACAACAGATAACTTGTCTTCTGTGAGGCTGTAGGACCTCAGAACATTTTTATACTCAAAGAAACAGACAAGTGCTCCTGCAGGTACATGGAAGCCAGCCCAGACACCAGGAACTCAGGTGCAGACATTTAACCCCCACACACGCACTGTCAAGTTTCCACCTCCTTACAAAATAGTGATGATGCTTCCAATTCCTCCCTGTGTCTTTAACAGCCTTTACTCTGTTTCCTCCTACACACTTTGGATTTGTTCAATGCATTTAAGGTCTTCTGTAGCTTTCTCTGCATGCACACACATGCAGCCCCCTTTCTCACTTCAAATTCTTCCACATGGGGGCAATGAGGAAATGGACTAATAGCATTTGTTATTCTTTAGCCTTTCAGGTCAGCCCACCACACACACAGCAAAACTGATGCTGTTTGCAATGTCTTCATCCACAGAAGCCAAAAGGGAGGTCCTGGCCTACTCTAAAGTCTACGGGTTTTAGCAGGCACAGAATTTCAGTCCACTCTTGTAGCTTGCAACAGTCTTAGAGCAGAGACAGATGACTAAGATGTAGTCTGATGCTCTGTTCAGTCACCACGAAGAGTGGCTGAGACTCTACATTTCTTATACGCTATGGAGTACCAAGGCAGATTTGCTCCTAGTGAGGATGTTCAGTGATGTTGTGACGATTTTCCCTACTCCATTAGCACCTCCTGTTAGTCTTCCCAGACATTTCAGCTGCAAAGGGAACCACACACACACACACACACACACACACACACATCTCTCCTCCCTCCTGCAGAAGTCTTAGCCACTGACAGCAGCAGCTATGAGGAGAGGAAACACGAGATCTGCAAAATGCAGCAAGGCAACAAAGATGGAGTTCAGGCTTTAGCCTAATGTGATCTCTTCCTGATCAAGGACTTCCTCTCTCCCTTGTTAACAGAAGAATGTGAAAAGTATCTCTATTACTGTTAATTGTGCAGGGCTCCTCCATACAGCTACCCATGTTCTCAACAAACATGCTCCCTGTGTCTTGAGGCCCTCAGCAGACTGACATAATTACAGCGCAAATGTCAACGATGGACTTGGCAATAAACATGGCATGACAGAGGTATGTTCAGCTCACATAAACTTTACAACCCTATAAATACCACACCCGTAAGAGACCACAACCATAAAATACAGAGAACAGCTACAGAGATGTCATGGGAGAATAAACATACACCAGCAGAAAGAGAACTCGCCGTTCTGAGAGTTAAATAGAGGATAGGAAGAGCTGCCCAGCAACCCCTGGATGAATGGTTCCCTTACCTGTCCTGCTGGTGGCTTCTCCATCCGAAAAGTCAGATCTCTTTCAACCAGCAGCAGTACTCCATGAATACAATGAGGATCCATGTCCTACAACAAAACAGCGTGCAATTCCATTACTTGTATCCATCCATGCAGATGCTTGGGATGCTAAGGAGAACATACCATACCAGGTTTGTACAAGAGATTGCAATTTATCCTTCAAAGGCATTTATGAAGTCTGGAAGGTAGTCACCAGGTATAGGGAAGGCCATTCTACAGAGCACAAAGGTTATGTCCCTAAGGTAGTTTCCTTCAGATTAACTAGTCCTGCAGTTTCTAAGGAAGCAGTGAAAGAGGTCAGATCTTGGCTGTACTAAAAACAACTCTGCCTTCTACACCGGGAAATGTGTCGGGGAGGAAAGAGAACCACATTCATTCAATGTCCAAGTTTTTTTGTTGATAACTTCCCTGGTCAATTCTAACTGAAAGGAAGTTTTTCTTCCCCACAGTGCCAAAAACGTCATCTTGTCTTTACTTTATGCCAACTCACAATCAAGGACTTGCATCCTGCTGCTACTGTTAAACTGACAGAAATTCCAAATACAAGGGACATCTGGCAGTTGTAGCTCAAACTCTGTGATTCGGGAGCAGCTCTCCAATTGTAGAAGCACTCTACAGGGAAGTGAGAAACAGGCACAGAGAACAACAGCAAGAAGAGGGAAACGTAGTAGAAAGATCCAGATCATGGAGGCAGGGCCCACTAAATACATGATGCCTGGATCTGGATAGCAAGAACAGCCACTTGAGCCGTCATTCCACATGGTTAAATAAGAACCATACCATCTAGATGTCTCCTAGATGGTCTTGGACTCTGCAAATATCCTGGAAACTGTCAAGCAACAAATCCTTTTAGGTATCGCTCAAGCCACAAGGAACCTGCCACACAGCAGATCATGACAGCAAGGGAAGTCTGTTTAGATAAATGGCTCCAGCAGTCTTTAAGGTTAAATATCAGACATGAGTGGCAGAGCCATAAAAAAAAAAAAAAAACCACAAAAAAAAAGAAACCCAGTCTTCCTCTCATCTAGTCCTATAAAACAGGATCCTTTTGAACTGTCAGCAAAAAAAATCCCAACTGAATCATCTCCCAGAACAGTGAGAGGTTTCTCACCCTTCTCAAATCCCTTTCTCCATAGTAAATTATTCACACTTTCAATGTTATTTGAACACTGATCAAAAGACCAAAAAGAATTTAGTGCATAATTAGCCGGTATTAGGTAAATATTAAAGCTCATCTGAAGAGAGGATGGGGAGGTATTACAGCTGTATCAGCAGCTCTGAACTTGTCTGCCAGAAAGTACTGAAGGATGAAGACTAGTCACAGTTTCAAGACAGTTCATGGCACTAAATAAGTGTATTCTTTCACAACCTCTCTTCTACTCCAGCAGCCACGAGATGGGCAATCTGAGCAACGGGATAAAGGTAGTGATGGTGTAACACGAAGTTACAAAAATGGCTAAAATGCACACTTGCTTGTTTGTTACTGATGAAAATAAGAGTCTGAAAGAATCATTCACAAATAAAGCTGTCAGGAGAAAAGTTCAGATTTTTTCAATCCAAGAAGTAGGTATATTTCCAAAGAAATCAAGTATTTTTCACCATATTTTTTTTCTTTAAACAGCTGAAGGTAAGTCAGTCTCATCCAGCACTGATGGAGCAATCCAAATGGACAAAACCAGCTGACAGGAGCGCCTCAGGAGACAGGCAGAGCTGGAAGCAGCAGGAGGCTACTTGTGGAAGCTTTCCTGCAGCTTTCCACACAACCTCTTACCACCTTTGCTAATAAAACCAGTTATCTCGAAGCAAAGAAACAAGTGTCCCACACATGTAAAGTGAACTCCTCACCTCCCAAAACAGGCACAGGGTGAACAGCATAGAACAGAAAGGCATCAACAGGACCTCAAAGCACCAGGGTAGAACACCCATCCCTTTATTATTCTTCTTTAAAAAGAGAACTAGGTACTTTCTTCCACCGTTCTCAGACTGAAGTTTCAAACAGTCTTCTGGCTTCCCGACCCAAATGGAAGCCCACGGCCAGACTTAACACCACTGGCACAGTTTGAAGCACAGGCTGCCAGGA